GTAGTAATAAATCAGTTTTATATGCCGCCTGACTCACTATGACTCTGGGCAACTTAACAACCGTTAAAATATTTAAAAACAAAGAACAATAAAGACACACAGGCACACATAAACAGCAAAGATAAAAGAATATGACAAAGAAAATAAACTCGGATGGAAATAAAAAGGAGGGGGAGCATCAGTCATCCTCTTCAAAGGCCTATACTGGGATTAGAAGTGCAAAAAGTAGTATATGGTGCATTTGTTGGCTCACTTATGATTCAAGGGAGAGAGAGAGGATAGGCAGGGGCGGTTTTCTTGCCTGGAATAATACTATACTGTATTCGGAAATATTATGTAGTCCAGCTGCTGTGCTGCCAGTCTGTGCTGATTGCGCATCATGTAAGGCCTAGAACAGGGGTAGGCAACCTTGGCTCTTTTATGACTCGTGGACTCAGGAATTCTGGGAGTTGAAGTCCACGAGTCATAAAAGAGCCAAGGTTGCCTACCCCGACCTAGAAGTAGAAAAGACCACTTTTTTCTGCTATAGAGTCATAGAATTGGAAGGGCCATTTAGTGCAACCCCCTTCTCAGTTCAATGAGTCAAAACATCCCAGACAAGAAGACCCTCTGGCCTCTTCTGCTTGAATGGAGCCAGTGAAGGGAAGCCAATCATGGAATTTATTTTCCTAGCACTTGAAATTATTGGTCCATATCCTACACTTTGGAGGGATGGCAGATAGATTTTGAGCAATTCACATTATCTTGGTCATCTTTTGAGATATCTAAAGCAGTGGTCCCCAACCTTAACTGGCACCAGGGACCAGTTTCACGGAAGACAATTTTTCCATGGATTGGAGGGGGGATGGTTTTGCGCGCAACCTACATCCTGCGCATGCGCAGATAAAGCTTTGCTTGCTCGCCTGTCGCTTGCACGGCCCGATTCCTATCAGGTCATGGACCAGTACCGGTCCAAAGACTGGGGGTTGGGGACCCCTGATCTAAAAAGTATGTTCATAGCCCCTTCAATCTTTTCTTGAGAAGAAAAACCTTTGTCAGTTCCTTCACTCTGTCTTCATAGGACGGTTTCTAATCCTTTGGTAATCTTAATTTTCTGAAATGGTTACTCTTCCTAAAATGTTTGCTCGAAACTGGTCCCAGTACTCGAGGTGGGGGCATGTCTTCCATGCCTGATTGTCTCAAGGGAATAAATTCTCACCACAGGCAGGAGGTGCTGTTGACACTAGAAATCAAGCTGGTTCTTTCCAAATTCTGTTAATAGAGGCTTCTTTTGGCCCAGAAGTTTGTGTGTATGTGTCCTGATGATTCCCCATTTTGATTCGGCAGAACTGATGTGAGGAAAGGCCGCCAAATTGCTGTCTCATCCTCTTCTCTGCTGTGAACACGAACATATTTCTTGTGCATCTGTGCTGGTGGCTTAATTATTTCAAACAAATTTGAATTAGACTTTTCTGTATATAACATTCAATGAAGAATTTTGTGTACAAGGCTAATCCATAGTTTAGCGTTATGTACACAAATAACCTCAAGTAAAATGTAGTGCCAGAACATGCTGCCCCTTCTCTTTCTTTTTCCGTGCAACTGCGAGAAGGAAAATGGGATTTGTGATTAAGTGTAAGCTACAACATGTTTTTTTATTATTCGCTAATGAAGTCAAATTCAAATGTAGCATATAGTTAATTGGCTTTTAAAAAGCTGGAGTTTACTTTCAACCACAGTTCTCGGACTGCACATAGAAATACAGGTAGTCTGGGATTTACAGCAGTCCATATAGTGATCACTCAAACTCACAACAACACTGAAAAAAAGTGACATTACCATTTTTCCACACTTGACCGTTGCCGCATCCCCAGGATCACATGATCAAAATTCAGACACTTGGCAACTAGGGTCATGTGATCACTTTTTGCAACCTTCTGACAAATTGTCAATGGAGAAGTCGGATTCACTTAATCGTGTTACTGACTTTATAACTGCAGTGATTCACTTAACAACTGTGGCAAGAAAGGTCGTAAAATGGGGCAATAGAAATTTGGGGCTCAGTTATGGTCGTAAATTGAGGATTATTTATAAAACAGGAAATGCGGAAAGAAAATGGGATTGTGGTTTAGTGCTCAATCTACATAGAAGGAAGGAAGAGTACCTGATTCTGCAGATTTTGTCTGTAACAATTCCAATTTATCGTTGTTTGTGGAAACAGTTAATAATTGGATTCACACATAACTTATTAGAGTAGTAATAGTGGTTTGTTGAAATACTGTAGTAGACTGATTTGCATTTAATGTTAAGTCATTAATTACATTTACATCATGGTAACCCTACATTTGACTTCGTGTTACGTGTAAACCTCACTAACAAGAATATGTAGGAAGAATATACATTATGCTAATATTTTTATAATTTGAGTAGATGTCTATTTTTATGTAAGGTAAGTAAAACAACTTTTTAGGAGATGTGTCATTTTAGTGTTTTAATGGATTTTGTAGAGCATTTTTTCTTGGCTACTATTCATCTGTGAATTTTGTTTGTGAACTCTCTTATTCATGTTTATTTTCAGCCCCTTTTATTGGGGATAATTTCTCTTCCTCGCATGTTCTAAAATAGACAAACAGCTTGTTTGAAGAACTGATCACATGAAAATTCTTTTATTTAATTGATCAAATCTGCACGATAGAAAGGAAACATATTGCTTGATAGAAGCATTGATGCAGAAATGTTTTGCAATAATATGTTTAAAGTAAAAGAGACTTTGTTCTCTCACAAGAGAAATATAACATTTAAAAGATGAAACCTGCAGCAGCATTTGTATGCACTATGTAAAAATGTAAATTACCTTTTGACACATATGCTTATAAAAACTGCAGACACCAGGCATAATCTTCTTATGTTCTTAATTAGAGAAGAACACCTAAATTTGACTCACTATTACAGAATGGAGCACAATGCTTTAGAAGAATTTAGAGGATTTTTAAGAACAACGGACTCAAAACTTAATCTTAAAATTGTCTGCTGTCTTGGATAAACTGGATTTAAAATAAGCTGTAGAAAAAGAACAGGTATTATTGGACAAAACTGATGCTGATTTGAATGTAGATTTAAAAATGACAAATTATAAGAATGATTTGGAAAAAATGGCACACTGATTATACAGATGACATTGGCTGATGTCTTAATAATTAAAAGGGATATACAGTACATATAACAAACCAGAAGAATGACTGGAATAATTTTGTTATATTAGATTTACAAAAGAACTTGTTAAAGTTTCAAAATATATTCTGAGAAGAGACAAAGAGAAAATGAAAAGAAAACAAGTTCTGAGACATTATTCAAAGGGATTAAAGATCAGAATAAAAAGGAAGGAATATAAAGTTGGTTTATTCGATCAAGGTTAAAATATGGATGTTGTTATTTCTGGTGACCCTTACCGTAATAGATTTTTATTGACCAGCACCAAACAACATGGGTTTAAAGATTTGGAAAAAAGGGGGTTTTGCTGTGTTTTTGGAGCAAATGATAAACAGTTATGTTAAAATAAATGGAAGAAATATAAACTTGGTTTATTTGGTTACATTTAAAATATATGCGCTATTTTCTGGTAATTCTTAATAGTCTTTTTCTGATTAAGTGAATGAGAGATTATAAGAATTTCTTTATGCATGAGAAATGAGATACAGGAACATGATATTTTGTACTGGTGAGGAAGTGGGAAAGACATTTTTAAATATATTTCTTTTTTTCTTTATTATGTACTTATTTTTCCTTTTTCTTTTTTGCTTTGTATTTTCTTTTCTGCACCTTCTATCCCTCTTCTTTCATACCCTTTTTTACTATTTTAGTTTGTACAGATCTTTTATTTTTGTAACTGCAAACTTTAATAAAATTATTATTTAAAAAAAGAAGCACTCTATTCTTTCCACAGGAGAGAGCGTGTCTTCTCTAAGATGATGTATACCATTTACAATTTGTCTCTAGTCCAAGAACTTCTAAAATATAATCAGAGTTTCAGTTACTCAGGTATTGGAGATACCTTTTGGGTTAATTAATACAGCTTTAATTGATTAACTAGTTTTTTTCAAATAGTCAAAAAGGTCTGGCTTTGTTTGGCTTTTCCTCTAGGGTTACTTCTCCTTACCATTTTACTGTCATCAGTTAAGAACAGAGTGTTGCCCAAACACCATTTTTTTCTCCCAATTTTTGATTTATTGTTATAAACCAGTGGTGGCGAACCTATGGCACGGGTGCCAGAGGCGGCACCCAGAGCCCTCTCTGTGGGCACGCGCACCGTCGCCCCAGTTTTAGGCCTTCAGCTGGGTTTTATGAAACCTTTTCGCTTTAGGTCTCCACCTCCGTGTGCAAAAAAAAAAAAGGTTCAATCAATCAGGCAATTTCAACTCGCAGTGAAAAAAAAGATCTTGCAAAGTTGGAATTGATTGACTGAACTTTTTAGTCCCACCCAGTCTGCCGTTACCACCGCAGCCACACCCACCCAATGGGCCACGCCCACCCAATGGGCCACGCCCACCCAGCACCCGACAATGCGTAAGTGGGTTTTGGGTTGCAGTTTGGGCACTCGGTCTCTAAAAGGTTTGCCATCACTGTATATAAACCCTTTAAACAGAAAGCAAAGATTATTTTGCATGTAATCTACATTTATTAGGGCTGGGTACAGTTCACAGATTATTCAGAAAAAGTGCCTTCAGATCCCCTTAAGCATGAATCTAGCGCCTGATCGCTATTTAGGTGTTTTTCAAACTTCCCAACAACCTGGAGGGGGAAGTTGCAGCTGCTCTAAGAATTTGACTTGGTAAAGATAATGCGGTTCTTAATGTTTGCCCTCCAAAGTCTTTCTTCTGAATTATTTTTGAAGCAGGCACAGACTTATTACTTAGCAATGCACCACATTAAGATGTAACATACCTTTAAAAAAAAAAGTCAGATAGTGATATATTTTGTGATAGTCTGATTTTTTTTTTTTAATATAAATGTATTTGTTGCAGAGATCAGCAGATGAGTCAAGTCCAGAAGATGGGGAAGGTGAGGAAGCTCATTCCACTTGCCTAAAGAATCCAGAAAAATCCCTGATTACAAGTCGATACATTTTCCCCTGCCTGGCTGTTTATGGCTGTAAATGCATTTATTTTGCGGAGGGATTCCAATAGCCGGTCTCCGTGTTTTAAGAGTTTTGACCTCCCGTGTCAAAACAGACCCCATAATCTAATGCAGAGTACATGTTAAAAGCACTGCTGAACTGTGAGCAAAGGCCAGCAGTATTTTTCTAGCATGGGTTAGCTTAACAACGGATAGTTTTGATCAGGGCTTTTTTTCTCAGAGAAAAGGTGGTGGAACTCACCTCCCTCCCCTGGCCACGCCCCCACCCAAACCTGGCCACGCCCCCACCCAAACCTGGCCACGCCCACGTTTGGCTTTGAGGGCGCCGGCGTGAGAGCCTCTGGATTCTCTGCCGCTTCTTGCTCGGGCAGGGTCGCCTAGGAAACGGGCCAGGGGC